ACCCCGCAGGGTTCTCCTGCTGTAAAAAGGCACCTGGGGGCTGCGGCTGCTGCTGGTACTGACCAGGTAGCACAAAGTTGTGTCGGATCACGTTGTTACATATCTGTGCACCAAAGAGGATATGGCAAAGTATGTTCTACACAGCAGTAAGATTATTCACCATGTGAATGTTCAGTGGAGGATTTGATGTGTTAGAGATCTCCCTCAGAAATGTAGGAAGCATCTTGTTGGAATGCAGCAGGATGAAAAATGCTGGAGCTTCCTCAAGCCAGTGCCTGTCCTTGGCTTCCCAGGCCAGCTCCAGTGCTCCAGTGTTCTTTAAATTGAAAAGCAACTCAGTAACTTCTGAAATCAATGTTGTTTTAATGAACTGATTCATTTTTAAGGAGTTCGGAGACCTGTTTTACAAAGCTACCTCAAGTTCAAGTTTTGTGTTTTCAGAGGAGGGAAGAAGAATGTCCCAAAAACAGCTGAAAGAAGCTTTTATCAGCAACCTGAACGGAACGAGTTTGCTGGAAATTTCTGCAGGCTTGTCCCTGCCTCCGCTGTGCCTGCTGTGCAGAGGGCTCCTCCTGATCCTGCACTACCTGCACCATGGAAAACCTGTGAGCTCAAGGACGTACAGCCTGCTGCTGGACTTCCTGGTGCTGGTGTCTCCTCTCGTGTTCTCCTGCACTGTCTTGTCCCCAATCATCTTTTTCATACCAGTTATCCTTGCTGCCTTCTGTGCCGCAATCTTTTCCAAAATATACGGCCAGACAAAACGAGAGGCCAGACCGCCCTTGGGGCAAATTGTAAAAGAATTCCAGAAGGCATGCTTGGACCCTGAGTACATTCCAGCCATAACTGTGTTCCGTGTTTATGTCAACGTGCTGACATCCATCAGCATTTTGGCCGTGGATTTCCCGCAGTACCCCCGGCGATACGCCAAGGCCGAGACCTACGGCACCGGAGCCATGGATTTGGGGGTGGGAGCCTTCATCTTTGGAAATGCTCTTGTTTGCCCTGAGGTTCGGCAGAAGCCTCACAGGACTCAGCCCAGGTTCTCCAGCCTGGCCAGGCAGGTGTTCTCTGTGTGGCCACTGATTGCCCTCGGCGTCGGGCGGCTGCTGAGCGTTAAATCCATCGAGTACCACGAGCACACGTCGGAGTACGGCGTGCACTGGAACTTCTTCTTCACCCTGGCGCTGGTGAGACTTGCAGCCTCTCTGCTTTTAGCCATATTCCCCAAACACAAGGCTTGGCTCGTGGCTCTGGCTGTGGCTGTGCTCTACCAGCTGCTCCTCAGCACGACCTCTCTGAAGATGTTCATCCTGCACGGCAGTGACGGCCGGGGCTCCCGGCTCGGCTTCCTCGACGCCAACCGGGAAGGGCTCTTCTCCCTCTTTGGCTACCTGGCCATCTACCTGGCGAGCGTGCAGGTGGGGCTGTGG